TTTTATGTATTTTTTTTTAAACCTACAATAACTTCAAAAACCCACCGCAGCTACCACTTTCAACAGCTTGAGTCTTTCATTTGCATCAATAAAATGCTGCTTACGAAAATTGCTTTATTCAGTTTGAAGGCAGGAAGCTTCGACCTGTCTCATTAATACACTTAAATCAAAAGATATCACCTGGATGACTATTCTGAGATCAGCTCTCCTAAGCATGCCATGCAAGAAAGAAACTGTGCATCAGTGTGCTATTTAATGTTTTTGAACAGAAATCTCCACCTGTTTTCAGAGGACATGCTTCTCACCCATGCCATGCACTCTAAAACAGCCTGTTCTATGAGCCAAGTGGCAAAACTGCTTGTGGCCAGATATATAAAGCACCCAAATCAATTCCAGTTAGACTCAGATTCCTTAATATGTTTGTGGATTTAAGGACTCTGACCTCAAATGGGGTTGCAGGTCTCGCAGAAATTCAGTTACAACAACTAGCTCAGACTGGAGGCAAGGTAAGTCAACCAGAAGTTGGGTCTCATGGCTGGAAGTGGGGTCAAAGCTCACAAAAGGTATGAGAACACCTCATCAAGTTCTGAGATAATTAGGGTCAAAGATACAAAAGCATCTAAGTCACCTAAGAGTCAAATTTAACTTTTGAAAAACAGACTTGGACCCTCAAGCTTGTAAATCTCAAAGTCAATGCAGCCAAGCATGTGGATAAATGTATTCACAAGAGAAAGCCACTGAAGGCAATGGGACTGCTTATGTGAGTGAAGTTTTCTTCATACTTATGCATTGGTAGAATTACGGCCTTACACAGTATTGCTAAATGTGTCTTCGTTGCTACATCAATTACATTGTAAATAAGAACCAAGAATTATATTTAAATTATTTCTTTGTAAATTGAATCAAACAATGCTATTTGGAGGATCCCAGCTGAAATTCAGATAAAAGCCTCCACATCAAATTAATGAACTAGATGATTATAGCTCAAGCAGCTTATAGAATCAAAGACTGAGTTACATAAGCAAAATTAAGACAATTAATTGAATCCTTTTATACCCAGTGATTTAAAAAAAAAAAAAAAGACAATTTTTGGAGGATGATTATGGCCACCCCTGACTTTTGAAGAGCTGTTCCTTGTATCATAATGTTCTCCTCATCAGCAAGGATGATAAAAAGTTCTTACGCAACCGCAGCAGCTATTTCCACAATAAGTTTAGCTCAAAGTTAGTATGTCTTTGGTGTAACACAGATGAAAGACCCCTTCATTCATTAAAATAGGAGCAGTTTTCTGTGCTCCTTTACAAAATCAGGGCAAGCTCAGCATAAATTGCCATTTCAACAATAGTTGATGGGAACTTGGCCTTTCAAGCTAAAGTCAGACGAACCTACCAATTCCCTGGCATCTTTCTCTCTGCAGGTCCATCTGTTCAACTGGCACTGTGCCATCACTTGCAAAGCAGTGTGCCAGTTTCAGTGCCACATAAAAAAACTAGTATATACAGGGTTAGCAAAAGAATAGCCAGGGGAACATATGATATGATACTCCCACTGCCAAACACTGACCAACTTGAAACAGTTGCTTATCTAAGTAGAACTAGCGTGGTGTGCAGCTAGGATAGATCATAGGGCTGTTTTTCATGGGAGGGTGAATATTAAGCAGACACTATTATATAAATGGGTAAAGCAGGGAAACCAGATGGTTCAGGGATTTGTTAGCAGATACAAAGCCTCTGATCTCTACAGCACTGGTTCAAATCCTGCTTATATCAACAGTGACAACATGGCCCTGGACTAGGACTGTGTCCTATTCCCAATCCTTCTATGTAACGTTAGGCAGGTGGCATCATCTAGCTGTGGCTCAGTTTCCTGTCCAGTCCCACCAGGATGATGGGTCTCTCTCTCTCTCTCAGGAGTTTGCAGGATCAATCACCAATTGTTATCTTTCGCTGGCCAGGTTTTAAAAACACCAAAATTAGGTCAACCTCAATACAGTGGAAAAATCTATGCATCTTCTTTTAGACATCAATCCAAATTCTTTTCATGCCATCCCTTCTGGATAAGGGAAGTTTTTCACTGGAGCCAACAGGAAACAAAGGTTTTTTTCCTCATAATGGTTCCTTTTTGGTAGTAAAACAGTGTAAGAACATACTATGTTGCCTTGACAACAGTTCCACGTATCGGTGACATACAAGGGACTGTATGACTTCCTGTACTGGCATCAGATTTGTTTTTAACTGGCTATTCATCACATTTAATGCACTTGTGTGTGCATGATGAGCTACTAGCGCTCCATCACAAGCAGGGATGTGCAAAACCTCTCAGGACTGACACCAACACAGGACTTTTTCCTCACCTGCATTTTTGGTCAATTTTCAACAGTATTAAATTGATAGTCTAGAAAAATATGTTTCTTGTCCAGGACTCATTTAATGGCCTCATCCCTACAGAACTGTGCTCTTATGACAGAGTAAAGTGGACCTTCACGGGGTCCAAGAATCGAGCACAGAGGTTGTGCTGAGTGTTACTAATTACTGTATGTCCCCTGATCAAATCACTCTATTATAAAGTCCTGTCTATAACGATGGACATGCCTCTTGTAGTTTCACAGATGAGATCAGAGGAATTTTATTAGTGGATTATCCAGGCGGGTTTAAAAGCATTAGAGTACGTTCTACTAATCTCTTCTTGACAGAAAATGTACGGCTCTCGTTTGGCAAGACAGCTCTACTTATTCCACGAAGGTCTCCTCTTAGCCTCTCCGTCTACACCTTCCTGACAGCAGCCCGACTTTAAACCTCATTTAAACAGATTAGGAGGAAGGAACATCGTACTTATTAATTCAACTTTGACAGGCTACCTAAGAGCATCACAGCAGTTGCAAGCCAGGGGATGCTGCTGCCCCCTGCTGTATTGCTACAGCCAAATTCTGTTGATCACATTAAAGCAAAACTACGTTTACCGGACATGGCAGGGAAGATGAGGAAAAAAAAAGAAAATCCAGCAAAAGGCAGCCAAAAGCATCCCAAGACCATTTTATGCTTAATGTTTACTTATTCAAAAGGCCATTAAAACGTTCTCTTTATGGTTTATCAAGGCATCATGGTTTCATAAGGGTTAGACTGCATGGAAAAAAACCAAAACCCATCAACAGTAGCATATTAGATTTTGCCCCTGGACAAATGGGCATGCTGTTCTCTGGCACCTTGTTAACTCCTTCTAACTCTTGTGGTTCAGTGGAAGGTTTTTTATCATGATAAATGCTCAAACAAAGAGACATTAAAAGTTTAAGAAACCAACCTCATGAATTAAAGGAATTGTGCCTTAGCGTTTTCCTTCTAGGTGGGACAAATCCCAAGACTCTTAACTTGCACAAAGAGGTTTTAATAACTGAGGTGTGCCCTGAGGTCCTTGTAGAAAGGTGAAGGATGATGCATTTTCAAGCCAAGACTACCTGAGCCCAAACTTTTTCTACTTGCAGCCATTGTAACACAAGCATCCTATCTAGTGTCTAGACCACTACGGGGCAAAGGGAACATGTCTTACAAGCTCTGTTCCAACAGTCTCCCCTCCCATCATTTTGGCCTTAGGTTCAGCTACTGTGTAGGGTCTATACTTCTTTCATGTGCATCCCTTCCACAGTCACAGCAGGGAAATCACCTGAGCCTATTTTAAAAAAAATGTCTAAACCCACAAATGATATCAGTTCTCCCCTTTCATATTTCTCAGCCCAACAGTGTCCTCACCAGTATATATTTTCAAACCAGAAAGCAAACCAGCAGTAGCTGTGAGCGGTACACTTTCTTCATGCACAAGAGAGAACAGATCCTGTTCCCACTAATTAGCCATGTGGAGCTCCAAAAGGATTAGGCTCACACTGAAAGGGGGAAAGGGCAAAAAGCACACCTAATTAAAAAAAAAGGATACTGCATTTTAAAAGAAACAATGACAAGAGCAGTGGCTTGCAGATCCTTTGTGATCCATGCCATCTTGACTTACAGGGTGGGGACTGGAGGAAGCACCTCAAGAGCAAAAATACTGAGCGGCTGCTACAGCTGGAGTTTCCACACCAAGGTCCTCTAAGCTAGGGCTGTCACAGACTCGCATGCTCTGCAGATGGGGCCCAGAGGAGAGGACCTATAACACACATTCCCCAGTGGGTTGCAACTGCTTTCATCTCTGCCTCACTATAGGATGCACATTTTGTTCATTGTGGGTACTGTATGTTCAGCTCCTTACATGCTGCTTCGAAAAATATAGCAGAGGTTCAATGGAGTTCCTTCTGCTCCCCCTTTTACCAATAACGTTGCTTAGTAAAATGTAATACATCTTCAAGTTAAATATTAAGCAACATTGAAGCCAGAGGTGCACCCAAGCCATGCAGTCCAGACTCACATTTAGAGCAGAACTTATCTCTAAAGAGCTTCGTCAGACCAGAGGATTTGATCCCCGTCCTACAGTCAATGACTTGGGATGAAGCATAGTTTGGCTGAAAAAACTTCACAGCTGCTTGTACTTTCTTATTTCTACCTAAAATCACTGTCCTCTCCAGTCTATACTACCTTCTCAATATCACTTGTACCACCTTGTCTCAATCTCCTCCCTCCCAAAGAACAAAAGCTGAGTATTATTAATGCTATTCCACAGCTATAATTCTGGGGACGTGGATTGACTCCTTCAGTACTTATTTTCTAATCCTCACCTAAATTACTAACTCCTCAACCACAGACTTGCTGGAAGTTTTTGCAGCTCTCAAAAAAAAGAGAAAGAAAATAAAAGAAAAATCAGCTTACTAACATGTCCGCAGAAATCAGGGTGGTCAGATCTCTACCACATATTTTTTTCTTGATGGCTGGGATTTTTCAAACCACACAGGACTTTCTTTGTTCCCAAAAATCTCTCCTGGGACAAATTCTTTGTGCTCTCTGTAGTCTGGTGGGAGCTCGTTCAAAGCCCGGCCAAGTAACATCTAACTAGCAGGCTATAGATTGTATGATGCTTACCTCCAGGACCTTCCCTGTGATGAACTGGTGACACGCTTCACATTTGACTCCAAAGAGAACCTGATAATCCTTTTCACAATAAGGGACACCATCCCTGTGGGGGGAAAAAAATTGAAGACACAAAGCACTTTTTAATGAACAAATGTTAACAGGGCTTGCAACTGGCACTTATCTTTAATGTAAAACTCACTTTGCAAAAATGAATAAATAAATAAAAGGGGGAATGAAAAAAAAAATCAAGGTAGCTAGTTGACAGATGTAAAGAAATTATAGTATAATCAATACCACTAAGAATTGGGTGTTTGGAGTGGACACATTCAAGCATAAATGTGCAAACATTGTGCTGGATTCTGTGCTTGTGTAAGATGATGGAACTGAACAGAAAACAGTGGAACTGGACCCACGGACATAGGCAGGGGATCTGGCCCTTTAGCAATACACACATTTTATCCTTTGCAGACACGACCCTGCTTCACTTGTATTCTTTCCAGTAAATACACCCTTGGTAATGTCCACCATGGCAATGTACAACCAAGTCTAAGCAGACACCACAGTCACATCAGAGGGTAAGTGGAGTTGCTTTTTACATGGTATAATTGGAAATACCTTAGTCAGCTTCAGGAATTCATGCAGTATTGGGACTGCTTCAGTAGGTTTATTATTCATAGATTCCACGATCTATACCTGTACCCCCTACAATGAGTAATGAAATATTTTTCTCTGCAACACATTCTGATGTGTCCTGAGGTTCTCTCCCTCATTAGATGCTTCAAAATTAGTCTGGCTCAGCTCTCTGTATCTTGGAGCTATGGCACTTTGTCTGATCTTATCCCCACACCTGGGTATGCTGATAACTCTTTTCTTCATTAGTTTCTAATCCAAATGCAAGTCAGGTCAAATCCATCACAGTGTTTGTTCTCTGTTCTAGCAATGGGAAGAGAGACGGGGTTTGCTCCCTTCAAGTTCCCAATTTGATATGCAAAATTCTGTTTAGATGAAAAAGTCCAAAACCTATCTCTAGCAAACACAACAGAGATTCAGGAGAAGCTCAACCAACCCTTCTCTTGAAGGAGAAAACAAATGAACCCCTCCACATTATATTTGCCAGCTACTGTTAACCATTGCATCCCACTTGCTTTTGTCAGTTCAGAGGGAAACAGTTCCCTTACACCTCTCAGCTCAGATATTCTGCTCCCACTCAGGGCATGAATCTCAGTATTCATGGTGAAGGGAGATCAGCAGAGGACCACAGAACCAGGATTTGACAAGGTGATGAGCAAAGGCAAATTTTACCATGCGGTATCTTTGGAAGCTCTTCGCTTTGCAATGAGAGCTCACAGAACTATGGGCTTGGTGCTCATGCAGCAGAAAAGATGAAGGAAGTTGCTTACTTGCTGATGTATTCCCCAGTCAGAACCTTCCCACAGGCCTTGCACTTAAAGCATCCCAGGTGCCACTGCTTATCCAGTGCTAGTAGCGCTTGTCCGTTTTTTATATCTCTTCCACAGCCAGCACAGTCTGTAAAGAAATAAAGACATTCAGTATCAGTTACTTAGCTTTATTAATCATTCCTAACCTTGCAACTCCCCCCTCCTCAATTAAAATATGCCACTCACAGGGTGCATCGACACACGCAATTACAATGCCTGGATAAATGGTGGAGCTTATTGCTCCGGAGTTAATTGCTTCCGGGCACGCCATTTGAACGTGTACCCAGGAGCAACTAATTTGGGAGCAACAAGTTCTGCAGTTTATTCATGTGCAGCATGTGAAGCCGACTACTCCCCCAGCTCAATGTGCTGTGGAGGGGCTGCCTGGGGCACGAGGGAGCTTCAGTCCAGGGCTAACCAGCATGCAACCCTTGCACTGAAGCACCCCCATGCCCCAACCAGCCAGGAAACATCTACACATGCGCTGCTGTGGACATTTTTTACTCCACAGCAGGATAGTACTTGTATTTACACGCACTATCCTGCTGCAGAGTAAATTAGTTTAGTCCAGCCTAATAGGGGTGCATGTGTAGATACGGAGATGTTTACTGTGCAGCTAATTAGTCAACTGTGCAGTAAATGTCTCATGTAGACGCACCTATAGAGTCACGCAGCCCACATAGCTCCCAGTCCCTGGTCAGGAAACAAAGGACCACCAATCCATTTTCCATCACCACGAGTGCGTCTAAGAAGAACAGTGAAGGCCCTTTTCTCCTTTGGAAACCAACCATGATTCAGAGATAGCCCAGGAGGTGCAGCAAACACTTTGAATTCTGGCAGGAAATAATTTTAGTGCCCCTCGCTCACAAGGGTATCTTCAAAAGGAATCAGTGCTGATCTAAGTTTGCTACTAGCAAAATCTTATGGATTCAAAAGAAGTTACATAATTAGACACAGCCTGGCTTAATTAAACACTCCCTCACGGTTCTCCTTCTCCCCTCTAGATGGCAGCAACGCTCTAAATAATGACACAGGTGTTAGGCAGCACAGACCTAGGGGGGAGAGACTGCTCTCACAGCTAAAGCCATGGACCCTCAGGCTTGAGGCAGAAACCTGACAAAAACCACACTGTGGCAGCTGCACATGAACAAGCAGGCTCTGCAGAGAGAGGCAAGCTCTTGAAAATGTGAGAAAATTGCCCAATTTATCCCGGGGCATAGTTGCCTCTGCTGGAGCTGAGCCATATAGCTTGTAGGGGTTGCATTACATCTTCCCAGCTGTGCTAATCAGGACAGCTTGAATTTTCCACAGCTAAACCTGTTCATGGGTCCATAACACGCTGTCGTAATATATGGTGTGCAAAAGGGCATGCTCTGTTATTCTCTTTCTGATAAGGAAACCTACAACTCCCCTATGTATTGCCTGCAGCCAAGCAAAGAAGAGATCTTTGCATTAAGAACTTCAGTTCCATCTCTGGAGTCCACGCTGAACTCAGAGTCATAGACAGTTAGGGTTGGAGGGGACCTCAGGAGCTCATCTAGTCCAACCCCCTGCTCAAAGCAGGACCAGCCCCAACAACATCATCCCAGCCAAGGCTTTGTCTAGACGGGTCTTCAAAGCCTCCAAGGATGGAGAACCCACAACTTCTCTAGGTATCTTGTTCCAGTGTTTTACTAACCTGTTGGAGAGAAAGATTTTCCTAATATGTACCCTAAATTTCCCTTTCTGCAACTTGAGATCATTGCTCCTTGCTCTGTCATCTGCCACCGCTGAGAACAGCCCAGCTCCATCCTCCTTGCAACCCCCCTACAGGGAGTTGAAGGCTGCTAGTCAACCCCCCCTCAGTCTTCTCTTCTCCAGATTAAATAAGCCCAGTTCCCTCAGTCTTCTCAGAAGTCACGTGCTCCAGCCCCTGTACTATGTTTGCTGCCCTCCACTGGACTCTCTCCTACTTGTCCACATCCTTTCTGTAGTGGAGGGCCACAGCACGTGCACACAGTATTTGAGATGTGGCCTCACCAATGCAGAATAGAGGGGAAGAATCACTTCCCTTGATCTGCTGGCAAGGTTCCTACCAATGCAGCCCAGTATGTCACATTAACCTTCTTGGCAACATGGGTACACTGCTGGCTCATATTCAGCTTATTGTCCGCCGTAACCCCCAGGTCCTTTTCTGCAGAGCCTGCACTGGTCCATGGGATTGTTTCATCCTAAGTGCAGGACTTTGCACTTGTCCTTGTTGAACCTCATGAGATTTCTTCTGGTTCCTTTTGAGATTTGTTTTCCTTTGTGCTTCCAAGTTCCTTTGGTAGCAGGAATCAAGCAAAGAGAGTCCTCAGCTATGGCACCGAGTGCCCTTTCTCTCTCATGATGCCAGGGTGTCTTGTAGAAAATTACAGTTTTTTCACCGGGCTCCAGTTCCTTTCCATTCAAATACAACAATTTTCTCCCCTGATGGCCACCCTCACAGGCAACCAGGCTGGAAGAGAGTGAAACTGTGACAGTGCAGACCCGCTGAATTTTTTATGCAAAGGTTTCTTCTTTTCTTGGCTGCATGCAACATGTAAGGAAGTTGTGTTTTCCTTATCAGAAAGAGAAAAGAACATGCCCTTTTGCACAGCATATTACAACTGTCTGCTATGGACCCATGAACAGGTTTAACTGTGGAAAAGTTAAGCATCCCCGGGGTGACAGACGGATTCTGGAGAGAAAAGAGCAGGAAAACCTGTAAGAGGCGGCAAGAAAAAGCGCCCAGGGATGGAGGGGAAGCTGTAAAGGGAAGAGGCTGAAAAGAAAGGTACCAGCTTGCAATTCAATATTCTCAAATCCTGAGCAGAAGTAGGACCATGACAAGCTAATACTGGAACAGAAAAGACTGATGGATGGTAACCATATTTTCACTTCAGTGTGCCAGCTCCCAGCTTTGTGCCCTCTGCCATACCACCTCATCTCATGTAATGACAAAATGGGATCTTTGCATTAACTTCAGTGGGCTTAGGAAACAAAAGGCACTCACTTATCAGCTTCCTAATTTTAGCCATTAGTTCTAGGGATAACTTCTGTCTTTGCAGAGCGTGAACGCTGCAGAGTTCTCAGATTTCACTGCTCTCATCCTACCACCGCACTGCAGGTAAAGTTGAAACAATCCATCCGACTCCCTACAGTCATTTTCACAGCTTTTAACATTATCCAAAGATACCTGGTAAGCAGATGCTTCCCAGGGCTCGAGTTAAGGAGAAGATTCTGAAAAACTGTTATTGAATTTTGAAGAAATGTTATTCTGCCAAACTTGGTAAAATCCCGTGAGGTTGTGATCACATTGATTTCAATGGGTGTTGTGAGTCTGGCCCTTTGGACTACAGAATATCTGAAAAATAGTGTACTTCTATAACAAAATCCATGATGGCATTTCATATTTAGGGTTTTCACTCTGTCAGTCCTCAAGTGCTTTCCAAAAGTGAATGAGCATCATCATCCCAATTCTAGCACAGACAGAGTGACTTTCCTTGGGCCACGAAGTATGTTAATAGTCCTATTCTGTCCTACTAGACTAGATGCCGTGTTTTTTTTTAAAGCATCTCCTCTAGTGAAACAGCTGTTTATAGATATGGAAAGTTGGCAATTAACACTGGAATGCTCCTAAAATAGAAAGAGATAAACACAGACTGGGTTTGGAATAAAAAGAAAAAAAGCCATTAAAATTCTCATTTGCTCATTAAAATTCTTAGTACAAAAGCCATTCACATGCCAGTACCCATACAATGGACATACCGTCTCTAGGTAAAAGTCACTGTAGTATGGGGGATCGACAGCTGCACAGGGTACACTCTGTTGCAGCCTATGTACCAAATACACCAGCACGTAATGGAAGTACAAGGTGCTAACGTTACAGCACCCAAGATTAAGTGGATTTACTCTATTTGGGAAACAGAGAAGCAGAAGCTAAGTGAGCTTTTAAGTGCAGGGCTGGTGCATTCCCATATGTTTGTACAGTGCTTAGCACATCGTGGGAGCTAGTGGAAAGAAACAGTATGCGAAGGCCCAGCGTGTGGGCTGAAGTGATGGTGGAGGCAAGGCTTCAGTGCAACTGCATTTAAAGCCCCACAGAAAGCTCAAGTCCTGGGGCTTTATGCTGCTAGGAAAGGGTATTTTGGCACCTGTCTATATACTGCAAGCCCAACACATCATTTCCCAGTGCTTTTACACTTGTACCCCCTCTTTTTATCCAACATCCTTCACATGCTCTCACTAGGCCAGTTCAGTTTAAAGCTACAGAACAGTCTATAACAGTGTTGCACTTGACATAAGGGAAAAACTAAAAGAAATGCAAAGCAAGCTCTGGTACCCTTACAGGAAGAACATCTCCCTGAATGCAGATGGGGGCAGGGCAAGGGAAAAAGCATGATGCTGTACAGTGACGTGTGCTTAAGATCACCATCCCCCCAGCCCCTCAGGCAGCCTCGTAGAGAGACGCGGACCAGGAGTGTGATGAAGGATGAGCTGCCATCTACGATGTTTTGCCTGTGAAGATCTGAAGAGAGAATACGTTTGCCTTAGCAGCCTCTGCATCACTCTCCCCAACCTGCACGGCAGCTCCTTCATCACTGCTTCATTTAAGCAAGTGGGTTCTTCTTCTTTGCCCCCTTTTGCTCAGCAGCGATCAAGCTGTGGGAAAGCTTTTCTCCATCACATGCAGGACATGGGCAGTGGGCTCAGCGACGATACAGCTCCATTAACCCTGAGCATGCCCAAAACAGCTGCTCTCATTGCCACTTGAGTTGCCTTCCATGACATCCGTCTCCCCTCCACTCTATCCCCACGTCCCTCCAGTGCAGTATTAGCTAGGCAGAGCTTTGCTCTCACCACTCAGGCTAAATGCACAACCCCCCCTCCACCAAGGTGTCTGCACTGAGAGTTTGGCAGGGATGGCCTTGAAGGGGCACAGATGGGCCATCCAGAAGCTGCTCTCACTCCTGAGGAGTCTGTGGCAACAGATGTCTAGCTCCAGCTTGAAGTTGCTCCCACCCATCGGCAGAGAGCCTAAGGGAAAGAGCAGGGGCAGGGCTTCCTATTTCATCCCCCAGTACA